TACATGGAAAATAATGCTGTGGCCCATACACGGGCCAGGAGGTCCCAGGAGCACGACAGGGCGTGGTCCGTATACGGGCCAAGCGGTCGTCAAAGGGTTAACGATTTTTCGAAGCTTTTTTTTCTCTTCGAAAACACCGATTCGCGCAGTTTCTTTGCCGTTATCGTACTATTTTCCATCTTATCTTCCATTTTTCTTAATAATCTGGATTACCCAAAATTATCGTGAACTGCGCCCTCAATGCTGGGATTGTATAATACAATTATCAAACGGAATCTCCGAATTCTCGCAATTGCCATGTTGGTGACGTTAGCAGAGGCGACAATGGTTGGATTGTCAAAATACGTTCAACTCTGGTAACCTCTGATTATTCCTTGATCTTTCAAATTTTATTTATTAGCTGTAAGATCTGTTTACTTATGATATTTTGCTGTGGTTAATTTTGTGATCATATTGTTTTCATATCAATCTGTCTTAATCATCTCTTTTTGCCTAATAATGTACAAATTTTTTTACTTCCCTAATGATTACTCTAACGTGTGCCTAGCACCAGTGGAATGGCTGGCTCTGGATTGATCTGTGTTTTCTGTACTCGCATTGGGTGCATTTAATAAATAACTGCTATAAAAACCGTTTATTCTATTGCTTTTCTGAGTTCAAAATTTCATATCGTTCAATTTTTATGGTCTAGCGCGCCCAGCGTTGGAATTCTTGCGAGTGGATACTGTGCCTTATGTCCGGACAGCGATACAAGTGGTAAAGGCAACCAATTAAAACACGCTACGCAGTGATATAATTGGCTGTTGATAACTTCTGCTATATACATATGTACCGGGCACGATGGCACACCTCATCGTCATGTAGCTTATTCAGATTTAACGTAGTTTGTCAGTTCACTTATCGTCCACTTGATTATCGATTTCCAGCAGTTCAGCTTACAACGAGTGTAGCTCCGGATTCCTGTACTGCACAAATGAATCCTTGGTAAATGCAGAACTTTTGGTTCGTTCCAAACTGGAAAAGACGGTAAAAACTCCTGAGTAGGCACTACCTTCCAAGAGATTTCAAAACTAACACAGACAGCATCGTAATCGACGTATCCCTGCAGCGAGCCGGTCTCATACGAAACCGAAAGGGGCTGGTACGTTTGAGTGCAAGTTGACGATCGAGCACATTGGGACTTAAAATGATAAATTGGCTAATTACATTGATTCCACTACAGTTTGTTGGCCGTCTACTACCTACTGATGTTGTTAACAAGCTTTGCTGGTGAGTGGGCAATTCGAGCACGGGACCCATAGGTTGAACGAGCTGCCGTCAAATAGTACTTTGAATGTTTGAGGAGGAGATCCAATTTGGATAGTGCCGTAGTACTCGGATATTCAGCGATAGCGTTCTTTTGATACAATTCATGGAATCCCGTTCGACGGGAGGGGGGGGGGGGGGGGGGGGGGGTAGAATTCAGAGCTTACCGCCAAAGCGCGTCGATACATAGGCAGGTCGACAACAACAAAAGCAGGAACGACGTCATCTGGACGACTGAAATAGTCGTAACTGAAGATTTTTCGAATCTATTGGATCAAGTGCTTATGAGAATGGTGTGTGAGCAGTTGACGGCTAGTCAGTGCACAGTGACCAGGTTAGGGACAATCGAGGTTTGGAAGAATTGAATCAACCTATCAATCAACCTTCCTACAGATAAATTGGACTCACTCTCATATACGTATCTGAACTTCAATGTATTTGCCAGGGGACGTTGAATGATTAAAAATTTTCTTTATCCATGTTAGCTAGGTAACTAGCCAGAGTCAAAGTTCACAAAGTGTTGAACAAAAGATCGGAGTGTTTTCAAGTTCAACCACCGACATGAAACGATACTGTGAAAAAGCCTCATCACAGCTATTTTTTTAGCTTGTAGATTGAGCTGATCATACCGAATCGAGCCTTTCCCATGATATTCCAAAATAGCATGAGGGTAAAATGGGGAGTAGATGAGGAAGTTACCCAATTCCTCGAAATTTCTGTCTACGTAGGACGATCCTGAAATAACCCTGGAGGCGAAAAGGAAAGAGCGAAGCAACTGAATGGTGTGCTGCTGTGCTGGTCTTCAACTGGAAGAATCAGCCTTTTATAGCCAATGTTCTAGCTCCATGTTAACCCATGAAAAGTGGGACTGTAATTGGGGAATCGCTGTGTGAGCAAGTCTGATGGCATTTTTGTGACAGAAAAATTTCAAGTGTTAGCTACGATTACTTGGATAGCCTTACTTCGCTTTGAGTTTTCAAACACAGTATCCCCTCCTCCATAGCATTAGCGGCTGAATAGGCATTTAATCCGTAATGGTTCTCAAAAATAGTTACTAGCAGTTGAGTACTGGTTGACTGTGCAAAGCTTACCGAACAAGCAATTTCAAGGCATCGTTGCTGTCTAGATTCAGTAGTGGTGTCTTTAAAAGCCTCAGAGATACATGCGAGATTCTCTGGTAACTACGAATATTTACTTGTGCGTTGGCCTGTAGATAGATATACAGGCCAACTGACAAGTGAGAAAGTGCCTTTCTGCCGTCAAGTAGGGCCGATTCGTCAACAAACTAGGTGAGAAGCCTGCTCTGCATTGTTGCCGTTCACTGGAAAAGATCGCCCTGAAAGTAATAATATAATCAGTAATCGGTACCAAAATGTCACGAGGCTTATTGGCACAACGATTCCTTGAAGAATCTTTGGTTAAAATGAGCAATCTATGTTCGGAATGACATCGCATTAACAATGATAGCTTCATACAACAATTACAGTCCAATTTTCATAGATTGAAATGGAGCCAGAATATCGGCTATAAAAGGCTGAAGTCTCCAGTTGGAGACCAGCACAGCATTCAATTGCACAGCATGGTGAAGAAACACTTCGCTCTTTTCTTATTGCCTCCCGGGATATTTAAGGATTGTCCCAACTATAAACATGATAAGTATTCCTTTAACTCTATACTCGAAATTCTAGTTTTGTAACTGACACTCGAACATCCGCTAAATCGAGAAAGTTAGGAACAAACAATTTTTGAAAGCGTATGGAAAACGCTCGATCCGAGTGATCAGCTCGAATCAGCTCAAACTACGACGTGAGGAAAATTCGCTGGTTCCACCTATGATATCGTTTGCTAATATTAGATTTTGACGTCGACCAAAACCAACCATATCACATCGTGAACTTCAGTCGTGGCTCATTACCTAGCCAACATAGGTAAAGTGATTATCAAGTTCGGCCGTTCTTCTTACCTAGACATGCAGGCTAAAGTCCACATCTATGAGAGTGAGCCCAATTCACATGAAGTATGAATAATTTGCCTCCTCAAATTTTAGAGCTATGAATCGTATTCTAATAAACGAGCCAACAGTACTAACATAGTGTCATATGTTGTTGTAAATGACTTAATCACCAATCTTAATGAAATTCCTTCCTACAGCACCGTGTATATATTGCTCCAAAACTGTCAGAAGGTGTTCATCTCAATATATGTAGCTTCTGTTTGTGACTTCGGTTCGCTGGTCGCTGTACGCTGACTAGCCGTCAATTGCCCCCACATCATTCTCAAATACACTCAATCCAATAGAAATTCGAAAAGTCCTCTATTACCGTTATTTCAGTCGTCCAGATGACGTCGTTCCTGCTTTTGCTGTTGTCGACCTGCCTATGCATTGACGCACTTTGGCGGTAAGCTCTGAATTCTGGCTCCCATTCAAAGGAAATCCATGAAAATCATTCAGTGTGCCCCTAACCAAAACACCTCTCGATCGGAAGTATTATAACAAGGACGCTATCGTTGAATATCTGAGACAGAAATACATTACAAACTACACGTTTGTCTCAAGCTATGACTATCAGGAAGGGCTTTCCAATTATTTGAACGTGAGTTACGTTACAGGTGCACATACAATAGCTACTCAACTCGATCAAATTTAGGCAAGTGCACACATCCAGTAGCTACTCGACTTGATCAATTTTAGGCACAGTACTACGGCACTATCCAGATCGGAACTCCTCCTCAAACATTCAAAGTGCTATTTGACACCGGCTCGTCCAACCTATGGGTTCCATGCTCGATTTGCCCGCTCACTGACAAGGCCTGTTCACAACATAACAAGGTAAACGGACAAAAAATGGAGTGAAAGAAATGTAAATAGCCAATTTATTGTTTTAGTTCAATTGTACTCAATCGTCAACTTGCACCGCAACAGAATACTATCTTCCGCTTAGGTATGGGACCGGCTCGCTGCAGGGTTACGTCGATTATGATGTTGTCTGTGTTAGTTTTGAAATATTCTGGACGATGTTGCGTACCCGAGAGTTTCTACCGTCTTTTCCAGTTTGGAACCAATCGGATGTACTGCACCAATAGATACCAAGGATTTTTTTGTGCAGTGCAGGAACCCGGAGACACATTCCTTGTATGTTGGAACTGTATGTTTGTGAACAGGTAACATAAGGAGAGTATCGATTTCCTAATTCCAGAACGAGCCATTCGACGGCATTCTAGGAATGGCATGGAATTCTATCTCAAAGGGAGGCATTCCCACACCTACGTCTCAGATCTTCTCTAATCAGGTCATTTCTATGAAACGCAAAGCTTTAATGCAATAACGCAAGGCTATGACCACGTGCAAATTAGCGACGAAGTTTATAGGAAGTAAAAAGCAGCGAAATGTGCAGTGGAAAGGGGAAGAATAACGACGAATTTCAGTAGAAGGTTACCATGCGACCATGCAGTGATTCGTGAAGCTCTCCAATCGGTTTCTGGCTAGACTACTGAAACTTTTTACCCCTGAGGGTTAACCAATCGACACCGCGCCCGTCTGGAAGGACAAAAGTACTGACTCGTTGATAGATGACCCTCATAGACTATTGTATGAGTTCAATGCACCTACAAATCATTACAAATATGAATGGGGATTCATTGCGTAGGGGATCGCGAAATGGGTTGGTCCCGAAGGATGTTCAACGTTTTTGCAGATGGTTTGCCCGGAAGCCGTTTTTGCTTTCTATCTTAACCGTGACCTCTACAACAATACTGTCGGTGGAGAGTTGACTCTGTGTGGAATCGACTCCACTCACTACCAGGTACTGCCCTAAAATTTGTGGTGGTCGAAGCTGACGATAGTTTCAAGGGCTCAATTGCATGGGAGCGGCTCAACTCAGAGACCTATTGGCAAATACCACTAGGAGGGATCATCATCAATGGCCAGCAAATTGTATATGGACCTGTCAACGCAATCGTCGATAGTGGTACCTCACTCATTGCTGGGCCACCTGCACTTGTTCAAGAGGTGAACTCCAACATTACTAAGCTTCAGTTGATATCTTCCTTGCTCAACTCCCAATTTGAGATCCAACAAATAATCGGAGCAGGCGCATCAGGATCTATTGACTGCAGCACTATCTCCAGTCTTCCATCAATCACTTTCTTAATCGGCGGCTCAGAGCTGGAAATTGCTCCGAAGAGCTACGTGATTAAGGTATCAATTTTGTAAAGTTTGTGCCTGAAAACTCAAAGCCGAAAATAGTTGATGGTTACTGTAACTGGATTCAGCATAACATCTCTTCAGAGGTTATCAGGGGATAGGGTTAGGTCTCAAATGCCGTATGATGCCACATGAATGTAAAGGATCGAATACGTAATGAATCGTTCGCATATATCCATACTGATTTTTAGTACACCGACGGAACGTGCACATCTGGTTTCCAAGAATTCCCAGATCTGGCTGCCTGTAAGCTTCGTCCATTCAGTCAGTGTTTCCCGGAAAGACTATAATACGTAGTTTCAGCAAACACATGGATCCTTGGTGATGTCTTCATGGGCGCCTTCTACACGATATTCGACTATGGAAACGCGCGTGTTGGATTTGCAGTGTCAACATAGCTTGTCTGACGAATGATGGGCAAAACAATGAATTCAATAGAAGACTTTCATGTACTTCTATCACGTTTTCAAAAATAAATGGCATGTTCTAATTCAGTCCAAACATGAAATAGTTACACGAGCAAGACTTCTTAAATCAGTAAAGGCTAAAAGACGATTCTCAGATCACTTCGATAGTTGGACCTCGATGGAAGACTGCTTGGCCCCACCTGTGCGTCCAGCCGTCGTCGAGCCAATCCTTGGTCCTCTATAACCACTTCCTATCTTTTATTCTGCAGCACTCCTCGGTAATTTGATGCTCTTATCTCCATGGGCTCGCTCTGTATGGGCTAGGCTTGTTTCTGGTGATAATTTTTGGGAATGGGAAAACATCAGATAAAATTCATGGCATTTACTCGAGAGCAGTATGAATTTCATAGTTCCTCCCTTAAGCAGACCCTGCTCTGATGAGTGCATCTAGAGATTGTATGAAGAGGGGAAGACTGTCCCATTTCTTTCCTCATCCTGCGTGCTCATCCTAGCCTCATAACGGTCTGGTAAGAAATCTGCGGCTAAGGGCTGATCATGGGCGCCGTAGCAATATCTTCTTGCTTACTAATGTACAATTTTTTTTTTACTTTTCCAGCGTTTCCGCTGTCTACCTTGCACCAGTCAGATGGCTTGCTCAGGAGTGACCACTGTTCTCAGAGCTGTCATTATTATTAGGATTTACTGAATATTCATTACGAAAACTGCTTGCTCTCCTGTTTTCTGACCTGTGACCTCTTGAAAGAAACCTGTTTGTTCACTCCCAAGTGGGCACAGGAAGATCTTTGGGAACGCGAGGACGTGTTGGTCAGCTAGTTGATGGAATCAATTCTTACCCATGTTGATAACATTTGGTTCATCACAGGCTAGTAAAGAGCAGCTAAATCCAGGTGATCAAGCCGTCATTAGGGTGAGCCTGTTGGGCATTGACGTAGCGCTCATTCTTAGGCTCATACCTTTCATATGAGAGTGATTCCATCCAAAGATAATCTATTTTGAATATCTCAATTCAATACTTATCGGAATTGTTGTTAAACAGGTGCAGGAGAGCTCTGAAAAACTTTATTGTCGAACCTTTCTATGTGGCGCTAAGATTAATTGTAAGGTTCTGAGCAGATTCCTGCTGCACTTGGGAGAATGCCGCTTGAGCATCGGTTGCGTCTGGGGGAGCAGGGGCGAATTGCACGACCAGCTTGTCTTCTTTTGGAGCTCCGGCCTGAATCAGACGGTATATTATGTTCATGGCAGGGAGTTTTAGCATTCTAGGTCTACATACTCGTAATGGGACATCCGAGACCGTAGCCTTAAGCCAACTCTATCAAAACAAGGCTGGCGGCTCGAAAAACCGAAAATTCACATTTGCGCCATCCAGGAGCATCCCTCCCGCCATGGACGAGCAAGAAAGTTAAGCACGTGCGCGTGAAATCAATACGCATTCTGTACCCTAAACAGCCGTGGCGGTGGGAACGGTGGAGGGCTTTTGCTTGCTTGCAATAAGACGCCTTCAATCGCACTGTGGTAGTGTTAGCCTTACAGTAACCGCTGCGCCCTACTGTACTGCAGGACTACGACAACTGCGCATCTTATGTTGAAGCTGAAGATTCAGCATCCTATGATGGTCATGTTGTATGTTTGCCATCAGCCCTTTGGGGAATTTGGCCTGGTAGCTTCGTAGCTAAATCATTCAAAGTCTTTGTTCGATGAGGATCGGTGTCTAGCTATAATCCAGTGCCTATCACAGGAAGGTTCAGAGGCTCCATGCTACGCTCATGAGCGGCTGCATATTGAATCCACCTTTCCTCTCATTTGCATTGGAGCTAACCAATGAAGGAAAGTGATTCAGACGGTGATAAAAACAATTGACAGCAACCAGTCGGTAGTTACGAAATAGCTACCGGTTTTAGGGCCCCATACCGTGGTGGTGTTCTACTGTCGTTCTCTTGTGCATAAGTGGCAATGTTCTACGCTCCAATTCGGTCTTAGAGAGTAAGGTGGCGTGGGGCGAATTACTTTTCATGAAATGCAAATCTTTTTGTGCAATTGGATATCGTAATTCCCCGAAATTGGAATTACCGTAATCCTCATGGACTGTTGCACCAAAATACCCCGACACCCCCCCCCCCCCCCCCCCCCCNCCCCACCCCCGCACTTCCATCTCTCCCTCCTGCTTGCTTCGCTGTGTCTAAAAGAAACGCTTATCAACCCTGCGCACCGCAAACCGCTCGTGCCACTCCGTTTCTTCAAATTGTCGTGATTCTCCGGTACTCTTGAGTACTTTATAAAATTATATAAGTCGAGTAGGACTCACCAAACGGGTAACCTCAAGGGGTGTGTTGCCAGAGGCATCGACGAATCCATAGACGGGATTCACTCGATATTCATTGTTATTCGAACTCTTCACTTTGAAAACCAACTTCTGTTCACCGGGATTGTTCAGTTGATGAGTCGACTTGCCACCGGCTGCCGGCACTTGCGCTTGAGGTGGATCGGCCGTTAGAGACATGATATCTGAACGTCACTGAACCTCCCACCGGCCGCTAATCACTTATATATGATCACAAATGATCAGTGCTAACATTATCAATCGGTTCGTGATTTTTATTTACAGGCTGAAGACAGGTATAGCGGCCTAAAGGAGATACCCAATGCGTCTTTGGGATTTGTTTTTGGTGGAAATGTAGGTGTAATTGTCTTCCACATAGGATAGAAGCAATGTTTCGTGTACATTTTTTCTCTTTTCCACCTCGATTGGATCTCAGGCTCATAGCATGGGCTCATTCTCGGGCTGCGCAGCGAAAATGAGCTATGCAACTTTTATTTGCAAAGCTTCTAAAAGAAGATGGAGACCACAAGTTCGGGAAACGAATTATCAACAAGCACACGTACTTCGGATGTAAAAGAAAAGCAGTGGAAAGCCCATTGGAGTGACCATCTGGAGTTCCATTGCATCGGAAGGGCTTAAATTCAGGCAACGTGCCCAAGCGATCCACGATTTTCCACAAGCAGCTTGAAGACACCGCACCACAAAGATAACGATTGCCGAAACATCTGTGTTTCGAAAACAAGGCCAGAACCCATCGGAATTGTGCCGAATTGGCAGGGCTACTAGTAGTCTGGGCCGACTTCCGCAAATTCCATGCTCCAATCGAACTTTTGCCCGCGCTGAGCGTCATCATCTGTCTTCTTTTCTCATTCATTCATTTATTACATTTTTTTCTTTTATTAGTTTCTTATCCGTCTATGCTTGTTCCGAAGTTTGGTTTTTATATTTTAGAGGCTCTCCAAACTAGATATTTTTAAGGAGTCGTGATGGTGGTTTCATTGTCTCAAATGCACAAGACTTTATTAGCAGAATGGAGCAAGGAACAGAAGAACACAAATACAATTGAACAAGTTCTTAAACAACTCGGAGTAAGTTTTCACAATTTTGGGTTCTTCTGAGTTGATTTGGTGATTTCTGAAAACATTTCACATGAGATTTTAATTGCTTACTGGTGCAATTGAGCATTTGGCACTTTTAAAGATGATTAGATTGCTAAAAGCCTTCCATATCATTCTTGGGTTGGAGTCCTCGCGAATTATGCGTAAAGGCACAACAAACAGTGTTTGTATAGTTTCCTAGCGGTTTCGTCGCAAAAGGTGTATTTGGAACGAGTTGTTGATGAAAATGCTAATTCTTAACTCACTATATATTGTGTTCTAATTTTTAGGAAGCGCTATTCGATCCAACCGCTGTCGGTTCTCTCGATGCAAACGCGCTCACAACCATTTACAAGTGGGTTTTCTTTTTTTTCACTTGTTCCTTCATTCTTAATTGATACCATAACAAGCTTTCTCATTCTTTTCATGTGCTTTGAATGTAAATCGTTTCAAAAAAGAGGCAGCTACCTTCAAAATGGATGTCCGAAAAAAGAAAAATACGCAGTCACTATGTTTTCAACCTAGACTGTGATCATAGCCCTTCAGTTAACCTATAAGTCACTAAACTGTTTCACATTTCAGAGATTACTATGAAATCAGTGCTCTGGTAGCTGTTCTGAGAAACGATATGGCAGCATTCGATGATGCTATTCCTAGGGTAAGTTGCGTGTGATTATTCTTGGAGATTTTATGGAATGCTTACCTCGCAATCACTTATCGTTTTAAATCTCTTAAGGTTCTATCGTTCTACGATCAGTGTCCGACTGCTGCCGAGAATAAGTATCTCATGGTTGGCCTAAATCTAATGTTTCTGTTGGCCAGTAATCGCCTTTCCGACTTTCACATGGTGAGCGCTTAACTGAACTAACGTTTATTTAAGCGTATTTTTTTGAACAAACTGGTGGTAGGACGGGAAACATGCCACTAACATGCGTGTGCTCCGCTCAGCACTCCATTCTTTTTGATCGGTTCGAATTTTACATTAAATGTTGAGATAGTGTAGTGTTATAGAAGTAGGATGATGCTACCTATTCGCCTTATGCATAAGACACCACTTCTAACTAAATGTTGTATATTGTAGCTGCTGGAGTCTGTTCCCCAAAGCATCCAATCTGGCAACCCATACATCTCGACTCCTGTAAGACTGGAGCAGTCACTCATGGAAGGAGCTTACAATAAGGTTAGTGATGATTAATATAACCCAAATTTTCAAAAAAGTTACCATTGTACTTGATTTTTTCAGGTCGTTCTTACGGAGAAAACAATCCCTAGTCAATTTTACAGCGTTTTCATACGAATTATGATGGATGCGGTTAGGTGAGTTGAATATCCCTGTTTTGCTCTGATTTTCATTTATAAGCCTTACTTTTTTTGTTGTAGTTTTTTATTGGGTAGATTCGTCCTCTTCGACAAATTGTTTTCCGTCAGTTTTCATGACTTCGTATTTGTTCGAAGGTAGGCTATTAAGTTTGGAGGGGTTCCTCGTTTCAGGAGTGATATTGCTCTATCTATTGAGAGATCATTCAAACTGCTGAGCACACGTGATGCCGCTAATATGCTGCTGTTCCAAAATGATGCCCAGGTCAACGAATTTGCCAAACAAGTTGGTGATCTCTTCTCTCTTCTTTTGCAAATTCTTTGTCTTTAATCCCAGTTATCCATGTGATGTTCACATCGCGGACTGCAATGTAAATCAGCAGTTTGCTGAACACAATTCTTTTGACTTGATGTTTTGTTAACTGCTGTTATTTCGCCGCAGTACGGGTTCTCTAAGGTCTCCTAAGGTTGGCGATTCATGGACAAAACTTCAACAATAAAACAAATTAAAAGTACCTGTAAAGCACAAGTACTTGTTCGAGTCCCGTCCGAGACTGAGGTTTTGTCCGAAAATCGCCATTCTTGTGAGAAGATTCTTCTTCTTTTTTTGCAACCCTACCAAGTTTTTTATTTGTCATTTTCCGTCCTTCGCTGGAATCAGAGCTCTGGTCGAGATCTGGATAGTTGTTTCCTAGCCTTCTTGTAATACACTAGGACATCATATACTTTTTTGCATATTCAAATGAGCAAATACTTTGCGCTCAACTGTTCACATCCTTTCAGTCACTTCTGGCCATCCATTGTGTTTTCGAAGAGTCGCGTGAAGGTGATAGAATTCAGTAGAGGCTTGAGCGTGGACTCTTTTTGTTTTCTTGCTCGACCTATATGATTCCATGAGGCGGAAAGTTAAACAAAGGTGGAATTCTTTGGGGTGGTGAAAACAAGGGCACGCTGAGTTACTTTTTCGCGGGGGTCGGGTTGTGTAGCATACTCGTGCGGAAGTTTCGGTCTCTGGCTATCCGATTGACGATTTTATAAAAACTTGAGTGAACGGTGGAATGTTGACGTACTCTGTACCGCGACTATATTTAATACTGCTTTCAGCGGAAATGGAAAAGTGAGAATGGCTGCTTCGTATTTGAGACCGAATCAGGTCACACTGACAAACCAACGTTGGACACAGCTCGTATCGCCAAGCAGACAATCTTTTACGCTAAACAATTGGAGATGATCGTCTAATATTTATTTGTATTATCACTCAATCTTACATCTGTTCATGTGATGTGCATACGAATGAACTTCTGATTTTCTTGCATGGTTGTGTAATATTTTAAGATTGCTCGAGTTTTCAATCAATTCCGGAGGCATGGAAGGCTTGGTTAGCCTGGGCGGCTATGGTCTAGAAACCGAACCTGGACCATGCGTGTGACAGCGCACGCCCTTCACACTACACTACCTCTGCCTTTAAAATTGAGTTGCGAGAAAAACGTAAGGATTTCTCAGATTTCATGGAAGTCCTGAGATTTATTTGTTACATCATCAAGTAGGAACTTCTCAGAAAACTTGTTTTCATTCTCATCTTCCTTTATGACTAAAATTCTTTTTATGTCACAGGATCTCCTTAAAGGCATAGTTCACGATGAAGGTGACTTTTGAGATATCCAACTATAAAAAATTGGTTGGACCTCCGCATGCCGTATTTGGCGCTGTCATACCTGAAACGGTTCTTATAGGGCGTTATAATGGTTCAAAGATTGTACTACAGTGCGTACCCTCGGACGAGTTTCACCGACTTTGTAGAGGCTGCACCGGTTACAAGGGAATCCATGAGGGAAGTTCAAACATCTTGTCATGACCCAGTTCTGTAGTTCTGGCTACAGTTCTGGCTTGATGTAGTCAGCTCTTTGTGCAATTGCAATAACTGAAATCTCGTCCGAGTACCCCTTGCATGTTATTTCCGTCATGGCAATCTCGTCCAACCTCTACTTTCCCTACTTTGAGGAGCCATATTTCTCTCGAAATCGACAATTTATCTCGCTTTCTTCACTACCGATGACTATTCTCACCCTAAAGCTAAGCTTTTCGGCTAAAAAGAGGTACATCGAAAATGTTGCCATCATGATTTTTTTATTCGCAGTCATACTTTTACATTTCTATTCATGCGAGAGGGCTCCTCAATTGTTAATAGGGGTCTTTGAGCGAGTTAGAAGCGACACAAGAATCCCGAACTCGATTGAATGACTCAATCGCAGCTAGTTACTTTTCAAACAGTTGGAGAAGTAGATTCGACGGACCCACTATGTCGAGTTTTGAAAAGTCTTAAAATAATACGGTCTTCCTCAAACCTTCTGAGATGTGCCGCTCCTAGGGTGTCCGACTGAACTGGGCCTGAACACTGACCGGTTAAGGCTAATTGGTTTCACTTTCCTCGACAAACCTATTCCGAGTGAAGGACAACGAACGGATTAATTGGTCTATTAGCCCGAGCGGAGTTCCATCCTCCCACTGAGCGAGTGAAAGCGACGCGGTAAGCTGCTGTCTCCACAGGAATATAGCTAGCCCTATTAGTGGCTTGAAGGATAAAGGATAGAGCCTTGGGACGTTAATCAATCCCGTCTGAGGGATGCGCCCACGCATTCGAGTCCCATTCAGAATCCTAGTGGCGTATCGAATGCGCATGTGGCCTATACAATGACTTGGGGTGGCCAGCTGTTGTTCAAGTCAGTGCTTTTATTCTCCCAGACGGGCCTAGCACTAATCGAGCGATCTCGAAGGGATGAGAAGATTGGTTGGCCCAGGAGATATCGATCCTGGATTCGAACCTGTGACCGTGTATATGAGATAGTGCACGACTTGCCGCTACACCACCTTCGCTTCTATAAATGCCTAGGTAATAAAATATCCATCCTCCAATGGTTTCCCCAAGCCACACGGAATTCTGTAGGTCCCTCCTGTGAGTTTTTTCGAGGGTGCTGTTGAGGTACACATTGAAAATCCTGTTTCACGGACTCATAGATGCACTTGGGTATTTTTTATGACTAGATTCAACCGCTGTAAATGGGCGAGTTTCAGTGAAAATGAGGGTGTTCCGCATGGCTTTACGGATACGATGACCAATATGAGTAGTTTATGGAGTGCGAATCAGATCGTAGCAGGATTACGACGAGATCATCATACAGAGGTAGGACGACGGAAAGGCACCACATAACCGGCGATCGATCAACAGCTCTCATATTCAAATTCAAAAATGGCATCGAAATATTCTACTACATTATGCTTCATGGTACTGTATGCAGCAGTACTCCATGGTGGTCGGTCTTATTCCTCTTACTTAAAGCTAGCAGATGAGACGGCACGTTTTCTTTAATTGTTCTTTTTTAAGGATTCGCATGTTTACCATACTATGGTGGCTTCAATCGAGGATTTGCTGGTAAATGAGCTTCATCGGAATTTTCTCCCTCACTAGCTCTAATTTTGATGATGGGTACCAGTGTACTCCAAATATTCGACTTTTAATAAATGATGCAGAAGCGACTGAATGCGCTTTCGGTCTAATCTATGATTCGAAGCAAAAAGTTGATAGAACAAGCGATATTGTTTGGCTTGGGTGGGATCCATTTCGCGAATACCTTCACCTGGAAAATATAATTCTCCAAAGATGCAAATATAAAAAGCGTTTTCGTCATTTTCGGCGATAGCTTATTGTAGTGTGAGAGGGCGTAGAGCAGCTGCGGGTGGTGTCGCTGTTGCACTCATCGTCTGGGGATCATATATCATATTAGGATCCTACCTTGGTCTAAGAATTCTTCCATCTGACCTAGGTCACTCGCTACCATCCATGTGCCAGAGGATGAACCCTCTCACTAAACACCGACCACCCATCAACTCCAGAAAAGTTTCACCCTTTCTCTTCAAACCATGATATCTGATGGTGGACGGGAGGGAAGATTAGCGTTGAACACTCCCAGTTGAGGCTGTACCCACGTGATCCATTACCATTCAAAATCGCTGTGACATTTGAATGCATATGTAGCTCACACCATGATACGCGAGAGTTAGTAGGTAAGCAAGTCGTTGGTGTCATCCTCTCAGACAATCTAGTGCCAATTAGCCCGACCGAAAAGGATGGACGGCTTAGTTGGCCTAAGCGGGTCCGAAATTTGAACCCACACTATACAAGGGAGAGGGAGCTTCTGGAATATACCTTGCACTTCCCCACCTTTATTTCAAAAACCTAAAATGTTATATGTGAGAGGTTTTGCTGGTTCAACGGTATTTTATAGGAGATCCCCAAGTCATTCTTCCCGTACCACATATCATTGAAGAGTAGAGTTTGTGAAGCGAACGTGAGAGGATTGAGAAGCCCTAAAGGCTAAGGTTTCAAGAGCATAATTTGAATAAACTGGTATTATTCGATCGCTAAAAACATGCGATCCATTTTAGCACAGGATATTCTGTTCCCAAAGAAATTTTATTTGTCCACTGTGTTTACTGAAGGTTCTGAGTTTCCGTTCTGTTTGTTTTTTATGAAATCAGCAAAATCTATCTGAAATCTATACGAACAGGAAATTACGACTACGGAAATGTGATCATGCCGCTACATCGTTCTGAAGCGCATACTCATGACCATCATCATCCGCCGGGAGAGTTTCGTGCGAGCGCCATGCATGATGAGGTCGGCGTCACATGAAAAATTTCATTTTGTATTGATCGGTAATCGATTTTTTCGGTCAGGCTAGTCCACTGGCATCTTTGAACTGTCCAACATTTGCTACCAAATGTAAATGGGCCAATACCAACGACGAAGAGCTGGACTGGACAACGTTACAGGCGGTTCCGAATCCGGACCGATTTTTATCACTCGTTGATGGCGAGGACTATCCCGGTCAGTTCCACTCACTCCCTCTTCATCTCCCTGCAGTACTTGTGGAAATTATAAAGGGACTCAAGTTACAGCCCGATGACGTCATAACTATATAGGTGCTACCGTGCCTCCATACATTGACGGGGAACGAAAAGGAATAATGAGAGACTTCTGCGTTGAATATAGGCCTGCTATGTGTTTCGAACCCCCCCATCCCCTCCTTCCCTTTCATGAGACCATAAGATTGACCTAGATTGAATTTGCACTTCGCAAACGGTTACTTTACTTAACCCTTTGCACCGTTTTTTCTCCTACTCACTTCTGTGCTCATTCACTCACTTTATACCCCTTTTGGTGGTATCCCACTCTCCCCTCAGATTTTCCTTGTCTTGAAATGCCTCTATTCAAAATACTAGGCAATCTGGACGTCTGGATGCGTTCTTGACAGACTTGATTAAGGTTTGTGGAGGGGTAGCTAGTACATACTAACGTCTGCGTTCTGTCCTTTTAGAAAAGTCTGGGTGACTGGTGACCAATCTCTGGGGTTAATGCCAGCTTTCTTCCTCTCAGATATTACATAAGACGTGGACGTAGATGAACTAACAATCCTCTTTCATTGTAACATCGTCTAGTGATTGAAAACAGTTCGAAATTTCTGTTCCAGATCCGGCCGCAGGTGTTCTCACGTCACCTCAACGCCCTGGTTGGGAAGGAGGTCAGCTGATATCTGACCCACTTCCCTGTCTTCCATATGGTATTCGAGTTACTGCTACAGCATGGAAAACACAAAACGGTCCCCCTAACGAACAACCAAAATTGCAGGTTAACCATTCTTGTTACTTCCAAAGCGTCGTCCAGTCCGGTGCTTGGCGAATAAGCAAGTAGCACAATCGAGCATGAAAGCGAAAGTGTTTCCAGCGTAATTTGTACATCCTTTGGATTACCTGTAAAGAAGAAAAAACTCGTGAGAGGAGTTTTTTAGAAATGAATTCAAGGGATATTGTATTACGAGAACACGTTCGCCTGTGCTCTAGCGTTTTCATCACGAAATGTACATACTTTGTGAGAGTTTTCCATTTGGATGCGAGTTTTCTGTATGGGCGTTCCTCACGAACATCAAGGGTTTTTGAGCCAGGTTACTAGAGTGCCTTAACGGCTGAGCATTCTTCAGTAACTCTCCACTAGCGCCACGTTATTCGGTTTATTTATTTACTAATTTACAATTACCCTTGTATGAACCGATACAAGCAGAAAATTCAACTAGCACGGCTCGGTTGGAGCTATAGCGAATCAGAAATATGTAAATTAGTCCCTCAAAATGGGGAATACAGGAGTTGCCTGAAGTTCAATGTCTTTTCTTGCAATGGCCTCAGTGTTGCCGTAGCAAAAAGTGTTTTCGAAGAAGTTTTAGAGGAAGCTAGCAGAAATTGCTGAATTCTTCAGGTTCGGAAAGGGATGGGAAGGAGTCATTGAGGTAACACGTACTGAGAAGGTAGAGGAAAGAAGATGTTAGGGGGAAATACGTATGCTCCGTAGGCTCTTTTCATGGGATTAGACGTAGATCCTTCAAGTTCATTCGGTGACAGCTTCAAGAAACCCATCTGTTACAGGTTTGCTCGAAAAACGTGGTTGAAGTGAGGTTTCCGTTGGTGAACTGCAACGAATTTGAGGTCCGCAACGGAGTTCCAGTGAGCGTTGATGTGCCTGCTGCTAACAGTCCCAGCCAACCCGCTCACGTAAATTTCAGCCTTATTATGCATATAAAAATATAATTTCTCCAGAAAAATTCGTTCAGATTGTTTTTTATGGAAACAATTTCGTATCACCACAAGGTGGAGCCATATTTCTGCAAGATATTGTTGTCGAAGGAACTCTTACGTGTGGTGGCGATCAAAATCCAAGTGACCATCCCAAGCTGATAGATGAAGCAGAAGTATTCCGGAAGCAGCCATCTGGCGATGATCTTCAGCAGTTGGCGGCGGCCTATTCGAAAACCTACGATCCAGTTTCACCGCTTAAGGTTGGTCCTCCTTATCGTTTATCGCTAACATCACGATGGGGTTCTTGAAAAGAATAAAAAGGTGCCAATGTAAATTTAGGCCTTCGGAGTGCGCCATGAATTGCAATTATGTTCAGAATTGATGGGACTGTGTACCTGCCTTCCATAGAAAGTTGTAGAGCAAATCACCTACCAGACAGACCTGGCACCTACTGGTAGGGCTTAGGGGGAGAAAAGATTAGGCTTGGCAAGACAAGCCTGGCTAAAGGCCTTGGTCCTTACCCATGACGCCTTCAGTCGCTTCTCCCTATTTACCTGGTTATACAACTCACTTGGGTTTTAACTTAAGCTCATTGAAAAACTACATATTACAGATAAATGAGCCGAATCTGTAAAGGTGAAATAAGCCGAGGTAAAGTGGTGATCATGAGATGTTCATAACCCGTAGGGGCTAGACCCAGATCGAAATGTCTATTCTAACTACCTGATTTCAGTCTTCTCTTTCCCCCTCCCCCCTCCATTGATTTGCACCAGGCTTGGGAGGATAAAACCATAGGCTTGAACATTTGTAGCTCCCACTAGTCATTGTATAGAGCACGCACGTATCAATTACTACTGCAATTTCACAGAAAAGTGGTTCGAATAGTGCCAAAACACACCAAAAACTTATAAAAATTAAAGATCTGTTCTTTAGGTGATGGAGGGCTTGTCCAGCTTGGAGGCCCTTGTAGATGGAACACCGGAGAAGATGTCAAACAAAATACTGAATCCCCTGACGTCGATGTCTGGTAATCCACACGATAAAGCTTCGATCGTGCAATCGATTTCTGCGGAACGTTCACAACAAATGCCTTTCACAACATCTACCCTACCGCCACCCGCGATGATGCTTTCGCCAGCACTTTTTGAGAGCTGTTTGGAACTTTCATGCAATCCTTCTGGTGAGTACTTCCATGAAAAATTGCTTCTAGTAAGATTCCCCGTTAGTTTTCAATCGGCCGCTCAAGGCTAAGCGCTCCTTCCTTTTTCGGTCCTGTGTGTGGGCTATTGGCCCTACAGAGTGCAGAAATTGTGTAGAGGCTACAAGCAGTTGAACACGGGTGGAGGGCAGCTCTCAGTTTTTCCACGGGGTCGAGCAAAAACATGACCGTCCACCTCAAATTATTTCTGCTTATCCGCTCATAGTATGAGCGAGTGAACGGGCGGAAAGGGAAAGTGTAGTTCAGGTGTAGGTAATTGTAATGGTTAACTAATTGAGCATTGAACAAGTAATATATCATAAAAAAGTTTCTCGGGGTAGAAAAAGCAAGCATACTTGGCATTACTGTAGTTATAGAATATCGGCATCAAATAATGTAATATGTAATATGTCCTTTACAGCCACGCTGTACGTGAGATCCAAATAAAACTGAGGATTACGGTAAGTTGTAGCAGTCAGCCCCTTCGAGAGCCTGAATGTCCGCTTAGGATGATTATGGTACAGACCCTAGGGCTGTAAAACGGTCTGCAGTACAAACCGTTCAGCGAACCCTCCATCTGTGTACCGGTAATCCTTGACTGCCGCTTGCTCTGAATTCGTTAATTAGGGTTGCAGCCGATTCAGCAGGTTACTACAGTACATACATACATATGTCAGTACGGCTATATGCGACTTCATCATTTTCCTTACTGGGTCTTTCCGTCCTTTTTTAAAATGGTAGACAACCGATAATAATTTTCTACCGTTACTACTATTTTTGAATGGGTTTTGATTGTAGTATGGTTAGAGATCGATACTAGAATTTTTCAGATCTCAGCTGTTCATTCTGGCGGTCTTCTGGAAACACTCGCTGGGAGATTGGATCCGCAGGAAGGCTTTCCAATCCTCTTACGGGGATAAATCAGCTACCGGAAACAGGTTCGTGCGGTCCCTGGTCAGCTCATTTTAATCACCTACCCCGTCAATAAGGAAAACAGTATCTGATATTCCTACCAAAAGTTTTATCGTTTCTGTGGCAATTCTTGGGAATTTCTGGGATCGTTCTTCAACGCTTTTTGAGGAACTAACATGCTCTCGTACTTGAACTTACAAATCACTCGATTCTTTTGGCCGCTTCACGGAGATTTTCCGAGAAATCCAAATTTTATACAAGAACTGGATGGTTTAGAAAGTGGTATCTTTCACAGAAGATACTAAAACACCTCATTTCCCCTTGACCTTCATTAATCCTTTCATTTGACCAGTACACATTGATTGAAACTAGAGTATAGGGACTTCAAAATGTTGTGTTTCAGGCCAAAAGTTTCTTGTGGCTCCATTCATGGATTCGAATACTAAGAGCTACACCTTGGTCTCGGAAGCTATGACCGTTCCTCTAATGGAAACTGTGTATTTCTGTTTCTATGAATACTTTGCCACTCAAGGGTTTGTCTTATCGATATGCACCGACAGGATGGATTGCTTCTACAGGAAAGATAACCTGATGACTGGAAACTCTATTGATGTAAGATTTGGCAAGTCACACGTCATATATGCACTAGTTCCGATCTATGCCTTGATTATTTGCAATCGAATTTCCCACGTGAAAGATGCATATCGATTGCGATGACGCCAACTTCGGCCACATATAGCGCATGGTAATCTCTATAGAGTCTAGTGACATAGTCATGTTGGAGACAAAGATCTTACATACTTCCGTCCAGCCCTAGGTTATTCTTGATAGGCATGAAGTGCCAATACAGCGTCTTTAGAGTAAGCCCGCGGAACACTTCCTAATGGGTCAGGATGCGCCATGGCGGTCGGCTTGTTGGAAATAGGTCACGGCGCCCACATATGAAGAACAAGTCGTGACATGGCCGTTCATGTTTTACTAGATATGGTTCCCTCTGACTTTCACCCCACTGTAACACTGTTCAGCTAATAGAATTGGCAGTGTAGGCAAGCGTAAGAGTCTAGACGCCTGAGCGCAAGCTAGCCGAGTATAGACGGAACGTAAAGCTTCGTTGTTTTTGAGGACGTAGGCGAAACAAACCCTGAAAAGATAAGAAGATTATTTTCAGGATAATAAAAAGTGGAATGTCCGTTGCGTGAAATTGCCAGTGGGAACTTATGAAGTAAGTCTTTTTCATCAATGTTTTGAGAAGTAAATAATGCTAAACGAGTATTTTAAATTTAGCTGCGAGTGATCGCTGAGAATAACGGTGAGAACAAAGGCGAGATTGGATTTCTACCCATCCGGCTCGCACGTGATCCTACTGGACAACAAATGATTTGCTGATTCTTTCTTCAGAGGATTATGTTGAAAGAGTAGACTGTGATCGTTGAAGTTCTTCTCTTTTGGGGTGACGCCATGCATTCAACTAACTTATAATTACGATCGGAAACACGATTGAATGAACATCTTACGTGCACCACTGCTCTTAGGGGTTCGTGGGTCTCTAGCCAAAGTTGGAATGCTCAAAGGAACGAAGGGCCGACGAACTACTTCTGAACTTATAAGATACTTACAGTCACCTAATTTCCCACTCGAGCTCCTTCTGTCTCGGTAACTCACCTTTCTCCTGAAAAAGCAGGGGAGCCACAGCTGGCTCGTTTGTAGAAAGCCCAAGAGCCAGGTACGTCTTTATCAACTCCAATTTGAGTCGAATGCATGGCGTAACCAGTGAGTATTGGTGCACGTCAACAATCTCACAAATATATTTATACTTCTATGTTTACGTAAAAATTTCTTTCAACATCATTTTTATTTCGCTTTCACGTGTGATGATAAAANAAAATGTCTTTCAATCTACACGTGCATTTCTTTTCATTCTCCTTCCTCACCCATACCAGGTTATATTCCGTATTTCATATTTTACTTTACTCCCATATGGATGTGTTGTGTATAGGAGTTGTAATATTAAGTTATCTTTATATTGGTATTGGAATTTGTGTACGATAATTGAAGACGCCTTGCAATATGGTCGAAAATTAATAAACAATCCTTACTATTTATAAAGCGCTCGCGTTTGTTTGTTTTTTTGTTTGTTTGCTTGATTGTACGAAAATTCGATATTCTGCACTTCTGCTCTCGTTGTCAGAAATATGTAAATCCGAGTCTAGGACGGTTCAGGCATCTAAGCTCATCCTGGGCCCAATCTGCTTGTAACTGCTTTAAATGCATAGTGGCGTGAGCTGGTCGTGTTCTCGACCACAACCATCCTCGCGTTGTCACAAGGAGCACAAGGAGTTGCTCTCCGGTCAAAACGACTCGCCAGTAATCTCTTGGCTTCTTCGCCGTCAGTATCGTTATGTCTCGAGCCTCATCTCAACATCAAGCTGTCTACACACACCAATGAGCTGCACCACCCACTCATCTACAAGTGTCAACGGACCGCACGCCTACGCCAAGCTATCTGTACGCCTCAGTAAGCAGGTTTTCCGATTGTAAGCTGCCAAAGAGCCCAACATATTTATAAGATTTGATGTGCATGTTTTTGTTGCTACGCGGGAGTGCGACGACTCCCAATTACTGTATACTTCACTCCTCCTTCTCCAGTGGTTTCTCGAAAGAACGAAGCGCGAGGTTAGGCTCGTGCTGGACTTCACTTGTAACTTTCATAACATCGGGTAAGGTCGAATCCCTCTGTCGTCGTTCAATAAATATATCACTGAACCACCCTTTTACTGTTGCATTACAAGGGGTCACCAGCGACGTCTTCAGCCCTCAATGTGATAAGCCCCTGAAGGAGACGGGGGTAAAGCGGACTAACGATAAGTGGGTTTGCGTTCTACCNTAACTTTGCACAACATCGGGTAAGGTCGAATCCCTCTCTCGTCGTTCAATAAATATATCACTGAACCACCCTTTTACTGTTGCATTACAAGAGGTCACCAGCCACGTCTTCAGCCCTCAATGTGATAAGCCCCTGAAGGAGACGGGGGTAAAGCGGACTAACGATAAGTGGGTTTGCGTTCTACCTCGAACAACAGTAAAGGCGACACGCTTGTTCACATATTTGACTATTTACTTTCTTGATGCTTTTAGTACTTTTATTGCTGCGGCACCATCTTTTACACATGAATACATACTACACCACTGAATAACCCCCACATTTTAGGTGCATCGGCAAGGAAACGGAGCCGTGTGGCAGGCAAGCACTGATTCGGTGGTAGAATGCTTGGCTCTTCGGTGCGCCCCTAAAGGAAATTAACTGCGCTTAGAACAATTTGGACGTTAACTTGCATAGATTACGGAAAAAGTTTACAGTGTACAAGATTTGACGTTAGGAGCAGTAGACCACTGCTCGCAAATTAATTCAGACGAGGATTCTGAGCAAGGAACTAATAACAGTGATGAGGCCTCCTTGATGAGATATTGTAAGAGAGCCACAAACCATAGAACGCATGTGCTACTTAAGAGGTCAGTCCATGTAATCAATGAACTTTACGTACACATGTGCTCTGTTGTTCTTGTCCTATGCTCAACCCATCTCAGACGGCGCTGAGTCCGACCACCCAGATGTGGGATGGTAACATCTGGGTGATCGGATTGAAACAGGGATATACCTTCAACAAAGGTCGTGGTAATGCGGGACATTCCCCACGCCAAGAACATAATTTACAAACCATTAGTACAAACATCTAGTTGGAGATTTCCCTTGCTCTTTTTGTCGATGCAGTGCGGTGTAGGCCCGCTGGAGGGAGTGAAGTGCAGTTTTACGGGTGGTTGGCCTTAGTAGAGTGTGGTTGGACAGAGTGGAGTAAGGTATGACGACTGTGCGGAATATAGTTGCAGTCAGTGCTAAATTAAATGTAGTTTCATGAGGGCGTGGACCTTTCTCTTCTTAGAACGAGGAGCAGTTCTTGCCGAGCACAACAGCGCGTTATTAGGCTGGCGACATATCTCGCATCTAACCTTACACGCCCTTTCATGCCCGCTGTCTCATGCGCGGGCTTAAGACATTGCCTAATTGGTAGACCAATGGACTTCTACTCTACACGAGCAATCGTTTATTATGACGTGTAAGGCGACCGACAAAAGGCGCACCGCGCCATCAGCAATGCTTAGGTTACCTACTTGATAGCAACTTATGATACCGATAGGTCATGCCTTTGGTATCGTCTCAAGAGGAACTTATAATAAGCATTACTTTAGATCATTAACTAGGCTAGTTGTGAGCCCACAACAGCCCACATAGTCCCATTTTAGAGACTTGGAATATGCGTGCACGAGACTCGGGAAATGCGGGCAGCACTGGCTCCGGCGCGACTCTTCGTTTTCTTGCGGTGTGCAGAAAATAGATTGAACGAGGGGTGGTACGCTCGGCACTCGAATGCCACGCGGGCGGCCGGGTTTGAATACAGCTTTATTCTGTTAAACAGAACACGAGGTTGAGTAATACAAATAAGTCGGCTGACGTTTCGGCGATTTTCGCCTTCTTCGGAGCCTAA